TTACGTGATGCAATGTTAGTATTCATTACGTAAATCAACCTTCCATTACGTAAAGCTTCCGTAATAACCTTTTATAACTTTTACGTAAGATTATCATATGTTACGTAACCAGCAGCGGATCTAGGGGGCCGCCCCCGGACCACGGCCCAGCCCTCCTGTGGATCTTGAGCTAGTATATCACTTGAAATTTCCTATTTTTTGTATTCGTTTAAGTGTTTTTCACGTTATGGCCAAGCCCTCTCCGTCTTTTTTTCAAAAGTGGCTCAGTGCTCTATCCTATCCTGGATCCGCCACTGTAAGTAGCCATTACGTAATGTCTATTGTATTTTACGTAATGCGATATGTGTAACCATTACGTAATGTCTATTGTATTTTACGTAATGCGATATGTGAAACCTGCTATAAGTTAAACTTTACTTCATGTTAGCTTAGGAAACCTGTTATGTTCGTGTAGAGCATTTTGTTTATTGGGTAGAGAATGGCTCCAACCATTCTGCTCTTCAAATAGACAACGAAGCAATGCTATAGCTTAGTTTGGCCCTGCGGTAGCTTTTACAGAAGCATCTTCTGGCTGGAGCTTTTAGATAAGTACTTTTCAAAAAAAGCAGTTGAGTGTTTGGTTGTTAAACTATTAGAAATGCTTTTTAATATGAAAGATTGTGTAAAATGACTATAAAAAACTTATAATATAAAATATGAATAAAAATTCTAAACAATAAAAAGTAAACAAAATGGATCTTGTTAGATTTCTTTTATATTAAATAATATGATTTTATAATTTATTTTATTTTTAAAATGATATAAATGAAGGAAAATTCTGAAATAAAATTAAAATATGGTAAGGATAATTTTCTATTTTCAAAACAGTTTTTCGCAGAAGCTCCAGCTTCTGCTTTTATGTTATACAAAAGCGCTTTTCGACTTTTCAAAAATCGAGCTTTTACAGGTGTTTGGCCCTGCTTAAACTTTTGAAGCCTAAAAGCACTTCTAAAAGCCGGGCCAAACATAGGGTATGTCTAGTAAGCTTCGGTATCGGTAGCGGCGAAGCAAAGTGTGGCGGCTCCTGTAGGGGTGTTCAAATGGTTACCATGGTTATAACCAAACCAAATAAGGCTAAATTCCATTAACCATATAATACAATATCATAACCAAACCGTCCAAACTAATAGAACAACCAAATTAACCAAACTAATGTTTAATCGGTTTGGTTAATTGGTTAACCAGATTAACCAATATAAAATCACATTATCATTGACGATGAAAATTTTCCGGTTAATGCAACAATTCACAATTTATATAATGAATAAAACATAACAATCAACACGTAGTTATAGTTGACCCTTAACAAAAATACATGCAACTAAGACAATTATCTTACGATTAGTATAGAAGTATTCACCTAACAAAAATTTATGACAATGGTATGGGTTAATGAATTGTTGTGTTTGTGTAAATTAACTTAGTCTCTTAGTAATTATCATAGGATGGAAATGACCTTCCTTTCAAGTTTCCATCCATCATAATATATGAAATTTATCTAAATTAGGCGTCCATATGTTGTTGTCTACATTTTACATATACAAACATACACTATATGAGCAATATTGAGCTTTATATTTTATGAGTCTAAAAGGGATGACGTTAACTCTTGAGTGGTTATGCAAAGTATTAAGTATGTGTATATAATATATGTTAGATATATGACTAATTATTTAACTGGTTAATTTGGTTTGACTGATTAGGAGTGTCTGAAACCAAACCACCTAAACCAAACAAGCTAAAAACTTTAACCAAATCAAACCAATTATCTAAATTAACCAAACCAAATTATTCAAATAGTACCAGTTAAAATGGTTACCAGGTAACCAAACCGTTTGAACACCCCAGGCTCCTGTATTGTAAATTTGTAATGCATCAAAAATAAATAAAAACCGGCGAAGCAAAGTGTGGCGGCTCTTGTATTGTAATGCATAAAAATAAATAAAAAAAGTTTCCGCTGCCGGGAGTTGAACCCGGGACTCCCTTTCGGGAATCGCCAAGCTGTACAACCCGGAGGTGAATTGTAGGGTTATAATGCTACAGCGGATTGTTGATGTATTTCTCAATTAAATTTATTTATACTCTAAAAGTATACGGAAATTAGGCGCCCCACAGATGTCTCCCACCCTTTTACAGTCTTGTCACTCTTGTGGCTGGACCTCGCAATGAAATGGGCCCTACAACATTTGTTTCTTCCTTTCCAATCCTTTGGGCTTTGGCGTTGAAGCTCTCTACCACCGCGGGATCGTAGAGTCCAATTTCCTCGGTTTTGAAAACCGGATCTAAAGTTTAGGGTTAATTGCAAGGATGGTCACTGGGTTTACTAAAACCGTTCATGTTTGGTCACTACAAATATTTAATTCCATTCATGGTCACTAAGATTAGTTCAATAGTTCAAGTTTGATCACTCTCCGTTAGTCTCTGTTAGTTTTTGCTGACGTGGCCATTAAAAAAATAATAAAATTTAAATATTTACAATTTCGACCTCATTTTACAACTATTAAAAAATAAAAATAAAAGATGCGACGAGAAATTACACTGTGAGGGTTTGGGAACCTGAAACGGACATCCGTGCCGGAGACGCGGCTTCTTGCGCCACGAAGCAGCTGCTTGGCCACGGTTCTGTACATTTTTTTTCTTCCGAGGAGGCAGTGAGGTAAGAGAACTGCCGGAGGTCGGAGGAGGTTAATTTCTGTCGCTTTTCTTCTAGGTTGAAGAACGATTTTCGCCAAAAATAAAAACTAGAACGAATGAATGAATGAACAAGTCTATTTTTATTAAAAAATAAAAATAATACAATTTCGACCGGCCGAAGTAATCGACCTCGTTGGTGAAACCCGGCCCCCATTGGTCGCTCCCGTAGGACAATCGACCGTAATTCACCAAAATAAACCGGTCACCGAGGTCACCGGCGGAGTAGGACAGCGGATCGACCTGGCGGATTTCGAGCGAGCCGATTAGGGGAGGGTCGGTGGCGATACTGTAGAAGCAGACATCCGCCTCCTCGTCCTTGACGAAGGCGAAGAGATCGGAGTAGGCGCCGTCGCGAGCTAGGGATTCGGGCCAGGGGGCGCGCCAGGAGAAGACCAAAGTGCCTTCCACTGAAGCGTCGAAGCTAGGAGAGTGGGACTTGCCGTCGTAGTTGTCGTAGACGGTAAAGGTGCAGAAGTAGTAGCGGCCGGAAGGGAGAGGGAGAATGTAGCAGTTCTTTTTCCCGGAGGAGAGCGGGAAGTAGTGGAGGGTCTTCTCCTGCGAGTGGCGGAAGTGGAGCGGCTCGGAGACGACGGTGGCGGATCCGCCGGTGTAGTAGCGGTCGGCGAGCCAGGTGGTGTTGCCTGAACTTAATCTATAACGCGGTGGTGAAGGGCATTGCCATTTCAAGAGAAAGGATGTCCGGGGCCAGGTCTACCTACTGTCGCCTTCATTACCGAGTCGACCAGCTAGAACTAGTTCGATTTGAGACTTCTTGGTAAGTTTTATTTTATTTTTTAATAGTTGTAAAATGAGATGAAAATTGTAAATATTTAAATTTTATTATTTTATTATTTTTTTAATTGCCACGTCACTCATTTAACGGTCAACTATAATAGTTGACTGCCACGTCAGCAAAAACTAACGGAGAGTGACCAAACTTGAACTATTGAACTAATCTTAGTGACCATGAATGAAATTAAATATTTGCAGTGACCAAACATGAACGATTTTAGTAAACCCAGTGACCATCCTTGCAATTAACCCCTAAAGTTTAATTGGAAAAGTTATAGTGATTTAGTAGTTAACTCTTACAAAATTGTTTGTAAAACCGTTCATGATATATAGTATATAAGACTTATATAATACATTAATTTTAAAATGAAGTTATCATTGACCACGAACAATTTCAAATTCATATAATCACCAAAATATCCTATAAATCATTCAATCCGTCTCACGAAAGAAATCATAATGTTTCTAATCCAAGTTAAAAATTACGATGCAAGTTGGTAGTGAACCACGTAAAGTTGATAACGAGGTTGGAAAATGATAAGAGGAAGCAGAAATAAAATTAATAAGTCTGGTTTGATGGTCTTAGTTTATGTTAAAGTATTATTTTTTTAATTTTGTGGTTAAAATAGTGAACCAATGGACAAGTTAAACCTTGGTGGTTCATCTGATTATATGTTGAACCGTGAAAAATAATTTAATCCGTCAATAACTGTCAAAGCAATGCACCGAACTGCTATCGTAACTGGTTTAGCGGATCTACTGGCCCAACCGTTGATCCGTTTGGTTCTTATAACAATTCCAATTTCCTATACCGTATTGTGTGTTACAAATGTTCTTGCCTTTCATTCTTTTCAAATTGCATTTGTATGGGCAATTAGCATAAATGTTCACAAAATTTTGGACTGTGTACAAAACAGAAGCAAACAATTTTTCCATGTCAGTTGTCCACATCACCAAAAATCTTAACAAAAAACTTACATAACCATACAAATTAACCATCGAAAATAACACAGCCGAGTTGGTCGGGAGTCTAGTCTTTCGGATATGAGATGTGTGAGATGGATCTCAAATTCAAACCCGGAGTTATTCAGAATAAATCAATAAAAGTATTCCAGCCCACTCTGAATGTAAATCTCCTTCTCCCTCATCGAATGTCTTTAGGTATAACTTTGGGTTATTCAGAATAAATCAATAAAAGTATTAAACAAAATATCTCACTTAAATCCTAAACTATTTCTATCCTCTCAATTCTCTATCTCATGTCCCTCTAAGACCTCAGCTGATTCTTAATTCCTTCTTGTTCTTCCTCAATACTTCTCCTAATCCCTAATTTTATCTTCTTCATAACCCTAAATCCTCAAATTTTTCCTAATCCCAAACATCAATCCCGAACCGAAAACCCGATGAAAATTTTGTTTCTATCCCTTTGATTTTCGTCATTGTATAAAATTCTTAAGCATACAAAAAAAAAAGAAGACTTCCTTAGAGTATCGATGACTTCACTAAGATAACGCCACACATCTCCGAGGACGGAACTCTAATCATGTGCTTCAGAAAAAACCACTGTGTTTGCTCTTGAGGCCAAGAGTGGGAACTTAGTTCGAACTTACAGCTCCCCTAATTCCTAGCGACCACATGCAACTTCACCTGATGTGAATTCCTTCAGCCTGATGCCACTTTGCACATACATTAGTTGTTCCTGCCTTGTGTATAATTGTATAAGATGTGTAGTGGAATGAAGAAGGTGACTTAGATTCCGTTCTCAGTACCAATGTCCTTGTTTGTCGAGAATTCAACGCGTCTTCCTGACTTGGAATCCTGAGTCTCCCCATCGACAGCTTCACAGTCGTTTCTATTTGATGCTCTATCAAGCGACTGCCTCCTGGACCGGCTTACAACTTCCTCCTCTTTCTCGTCAACGAAAGATAAGAAAGTCTGAAGCCGAACAGATGCAGAAGACAGGGAGAGCGCAGCGGAGGAAGAAGCAGCAGCAGCAGCAGCGTGGGACACGTCAGCCTGCTGGTGGCGGCTAAACTTTCGGACAATTTTGAGGAAATACAGAAAGAGCGCTAGCAGGCAAGCCAATCCACAGATGAGGAAGAGTCCCCAGAAGCTTGAGAGGTGCAGCCTGTCCACTTGAAAGGTCGTGGTTTGCGAGCTGCACGCGCTGCTCATCAGCCATTTGTCGTGGATCCTCTGCAGATCCCCGTTCTCGGACAGCTTGAGAATGGCGGTCGACAAGTCGACTGCCAGCGGAGAGTCCTTGGGGAAGGCCTGCAGGCGACCACAGACAAACATGGATGACAAAAACAACGCACGGACAAAGAGTAGTAGTAGGTAATGATACTAGCTAGTACTTACGAATCCCCAGCCGTTCCTGGTGAACTCTGGACCTACTATACTGAAGTCACACCGTGTCGAAAGGAACAATTCGAGATACGACTGTTCGTCAACTACAGCAGCAACGCCGCCTTTGTGAGGGCCAGCTTTCAGGGCCCTTTCGCAGTCCTCGGGGCCCTTGAGCGGGACCATCCTGGATTCGTGGAAGCCAAGTTCTTCAACCAAGTAGTTCCGGGCGAATGAGCCTTGTTGGTAACCAATGGGGTCGTTGCTGGTTCTCAGGGTCTCGATTCCTTTGATGGGCGAAGAAAGCTGCTGCACTGTTAAGATTGAGGTCAGGCTGGCCGTGTAGCTCGAGTTGATTATCAGCACAACGAACAGCCATATGATTAGCACGACTCTGCCCAGGGTGCTCACAGTGTTCTCCCCTGTGTATACATGAGAAGATATGTTAATTAGGAATTGTCCAGAGAAACTGGATGTTAAATTAGGAATTGTTCACAGTCTCACTGTGAGCGAAGAACAATGTTGACAAGCTGAACCTGCAGAATCAAATTAAGAAACAGGTTAAGTCAATCGATTCAATTTCACCTACAACTTAATCGGCTTCCAATTTACACATATCATCTCTAGTTCTGTCATTCAATAGAACTCACCATAAAATGGTGACGACTTGTCTTCTCGGCGGGCCCCTGAAGTCGTCGTTCAGCCGGTGCTCCAAGATCCAAATCACCGCCCCGACGACGAGGAAGAAGATACCCGTGACGGCCCACATCGCCGGGGAGAAAGGCCGCATAAACGCCCACGCATTGGAGCTCCTCGTCATCACCGGCGCCACCACCACGAGCCCAGACTCGATGTACGGCTGCGTGAAGTCGGCCATCTTGGTCCGGTTCGTGATGATGGCAACGTCGCCGACGATGCCGTCGTAAACCCCCGCCGACATCAGGCGGACGAGCTCCGTCAAACTAGGGTTTTCGACCCCGTCACCGAACGGGACCAGCTTGTACGGCACGGCGTACGGCAATTGGCTGACGGCGGCCGTGAAAACGTCGATGCAGTACCCGGAATACGTATCGGTCCCGGGCACTTGACCGATGAATTCCCGGTAGCTGACCCGGTTTGGCACCCCGATCGCCAAATGTCTCCCGTTGTTCGGGAACACCCATCCCCGAGGCTTCTGGGTCGTCTTCCCGGGCCAGAAAACCGGGCCCAGATGCTGGTCCGAGCTGGATTGGTTGCCCGGATTCGAGTAGAGAGTTTCCGGCGGGTCGATCGAGAGACCCGATTGGTTCGACCAGTACCCGATCCTCTGATGTCCTGTCCCGATCACATTGATGACTTCGTATGCGGGGTGGATTAGGGTGTCATCCGGCGGAAGGAACTTGACCCGACCCGTCACCCCGTTCATATCCACGTTTAAGATGCTCTCCAGTAGCTGTTTCCCGCCGTCCAACATTCTCATGGCATCTAGTCGCAAGTTTTCTCCCCCGAGCTTCGCTAACCTGTTGTATAAAAAAGAAAGCATGACAAAGTTAATCCTGAAAACTAAGAAGTAGCTAAAGTCATTTTATTGGCTAAAAGGAATTTACATAGTTAATAGAAAGTTGGTTGTTAATAGTTGGTTAAGACTATTTAGTAGGTGTGCTAATTGGTTAGGTTTCGGTTAATCCGTAAGTGATTTAGTGGTTAGGGGTTCACTACTAAGTAAAAAGTGCATGCCGAAAATCGAACCGATAAGTCTTATCGGTTAACACTCTGTTATCGGTTCGGTTAGCGGTTAGTTTGGTGGTTAACCACTAACCAATAACAACCTCAACATGTAGTATTTTTCTTTTTTTATTTAGAAATTTTGTATAGTCTCATTTTTATTAATAACATATAATCATAATAATTTAATTACAGTTCTATATTGTTAAACATTAAATAATAATATAAGAAATAACATCAATACAATATAATATCTACCGTAAATTCATAACCTAAATCCTAATTCAAACAAATAAAATTATGTATAATTAAACGTTTTTATCCAATTAGCAAGTACCAACTATTACTAGCAAGACATCAAACACAAGCACCCCAAAATCATCATCATTCACAAACGTCAAAGAAACAAATACTACTAGGGTGCGAGACTATGTCGAACTGCAAAGGATAGTAAGGAAGGGTGACTATCGCCTATCGGGTTCTGACTCTTAAACATACTTTGGTCTTAGGGTACAAGTTTGTGTCGAAATAGGTGTGAATTGAAATGTTTGAACTTTTTACTTGGATCGGTTTTGAACCTTGAGACTTTTTCCCTTAGTCAAAGCCAAAAATTATGTGGTTATACTAGTAGATGGTAATCGATTTCTTATTAGTTAACCACTAAGCAAAATACTGCCAACCAAAATCGAATCACTAAGAAATTATTGGTTATTGCTTCCACTAACTGTTGATATCAGTTTTGTTATCGGTTCGTTTACCAGCTGATGACTCGGTATTTGCACATGTTTTCCCCTTTTGTTTCTTGATTGTTTGAGCTTGAATTACCGTGTCTTTGACCGATTTTACGCTAGGTTGTGTTCCTTTGTCACATTTCAGGTCCTAGCACATAAAGTGAAGCATAGGCGCAAGTTTCAAGTCAATCAGAGATCAATTGACGATTTGGGAGAAGACACTCGGGCATGACCTGAAGAAGAATGGATTTCTACCTCACTTTATGGACAGAGAATCATGCAAGCTTGTTATGAAACGAAAGAGGACGAGACTACGAGCGTCTGGGATCAAACGGCGACTGATTCGGAGTCCGGACGAGGGAGAAACGAAGCATTAAACAGAGGCTGAGCAAGCTGCACGGGCAGACCAGGGAGGCGCACGGCCGTGCAACATATAATTCTGGCCGTGCGGGATTGTGCGTGGGCACGCACGGGATTGTGCGTGGCCACGCACGGCCGTGCAACATACAATTTTGGCCGTGCGGGTTGGTGCGTGGGCACGCACGGGCACAAGTGAAATCCGCACGGCCGTGCAAGGTGCAATCCTGGCCGTGCGAGTTGGTTGAGGTTCGACTTAATGAAACGGCGCGTTTTGAGGTGCACGGCCAGAATGGTGATGTGCATGGCCGTGCACCCTGGCCGTGCGAGTCGGGAATTGTTGTTTAAAACCCGATTTTCAGCGAAAGGAAGGGAGGAGAGCTGGGTTTTGGATCCCAAACACCCAAGGGACGAACCCTAGAGAGAGAGAGCGACTTGGAAACATTCTTGGAGCTATTTTGGAGGATTTCTTCGCCATTGGAGCTCGGGAATCAAGCTTGGAGATGGAGATTGAAGATCTAGATCAGATTTCTGCAGTCTCTCTCTTCTCTATGGAGTAACTTCCCTTCACTTAGGTTTTGAGGAACCCTAGTTCCATGAGTTAGGATCTTTCTTGTATGAAGTTTTGGATGCTATACTGTTTGATTATAATCGATTGAGGCATGATTTATTGAGTCAATTGGATCTTGATCAAATTCTCTTGATTTCTGCTTTAACCTATGATAGATAGAATCTGATTAGGTTAAGAGAGCTTCCTTGATTGATAGTAGTGAATTGGTTGTGCGAGAGTCAGTCAATTCACTGCTTTGTACTGGAACTCATTCCAGTAGTGGAGATCTGTGTGAATCGCCTTAGCAGTCTATCCCGGTGAAGGCTAGTCGCCTGCCGGGTATTCTGTCTGAGAGGGCTTGGTCAGCTTAAGAGATTCCAAGCTAATTTAGGATCTTCCGCAGTTTAATCAACAGTAGATCAACCAAAGGTAATTGCAACTTTGACCTAATTGAGGAGCTAGGGGGAATCATACCTAAGTGAGTTCCCAATTTGTAATTAGTAGAGTAGTCAGTAGAGTAGTTTATCAATCAATTCTTAATCTAGTTTTCTAGATAATGAACTGAAGCTGAGTAATAGTAACTCTAGAGACCCGTGGATTCGATATTTATTACTTGTGCCACTATACTGCAGTCCCTTTCATTGGTTACACTTGGCCATTGTTAGGTGTTGTGTTTTAGCGTGTCAAGTTTTTGGCGCCGTTGCCGGGGACTTTCTAGATTATTAGGGAAGGCAGAAGTTTGTTACTTTAGCTTTTTTTTTCTTTTCCACCCTTGCTTTTCACTTGGGTGTTTTTGTTTTTATTGGTGCAGATCTGAATCATGGATCCTCATGGCTTCTCCAACCATTGGGGGTATCCACCACCATCCGAGTGGTATTACCCCGAGACCCCCTGGAGCAATCAAGGAGGAGAAGACTATGGATTCGGGTTTCAGTACCAACCCCCATCCTACGAAGAACAATCAGACCCCTGGGTATTTCAAGAACAATCTCCTTATCAAGAAGAATTCCTCCATCAGCCAGATCCAAACTATCACTTGAGGCTTCTCGTGGAGCAGATTGCTCGAGTGCCTGAGACATCCTTTCCAAAGATGGATATCCCAGACAATGCCCAAACTGGGTTCTCCTACCATGAAACAGAGGAGACCCTCCTGAGCATAAAGAAGAGCCTCGAGGATCTTGAGAAAGCTTATGCACAACCTGCTCAAGATCACCCTTCTGCTATCATACTAGAAGAGGAGGAGCAAGACGAAGGCTACAAGGACATTGTGGAGCAAACAGAAGTTATCACGGAGAGCTCCCGTGAAGATCATGATCAAGAATGTCCTATCGTAGCCGACCACACCTTCCCACATCCCAAACTGAGCTTTGAAGAGGCGGGCATGAGTGAGGAGATGCAAGAAAATCTTATGAAAGAAATTGCTTGGCAACTTGCTCTCCAATCCGTGCTAGAAGACGAAGAGCAAGAAAGGGTTCAGAAAGAAGTTGTGGAGGATGAAGAAAGTGAAGCAGGAGGAGTTCTTGATCATTTCCCAGGGGTGATACCATATGAACAAGGAAGGGAGGTTGACGAAGCAATTGGCGTCCAGGCTGAGGACGAAGTTGAGGTGGAAGAGGCCTGCACCGGCCATGAGTTGCATGTGATATCTCCACCAAACGTCGAGGAACTACTTAGCAAGGACCCATTTGCAGTGTCTCTTTGCCAGACCAAGGCCACTTCGACATCGGTCCCTCTTGGTGGACGCGATGGTGGTCAATCGATGTTGTCATATCTGGTTTGGGGCAATGAGACGAGAGAAGAGAAGAAGAGGTCTCGAGGGTGGAGACTTCATCTGCATCAAGTGCACGAGCTTCCATCACCTGTCATACCGCATGCTCGTGACTTGAGACTCCACCTCATAGATGAGAACCTCAACTTCAAGGAGGTTCTAGCATGGACCGAAACTTAGGAGCCATCGTCCGGCTCACGACGTGAAAGAAGCGCTTGTTGGGAGGCAACCCAACCAGTCGGTTTGCATTTCTTTCTCTATTTCTCCTCGGTTGAGTCAGTTTTGTTATTTGGTTTTAGAGTCAATAGCTCAACCTTTGTGAGATTTTGTGTGGTGTTTGTGTTCTGATTACTCTCTCTTCCTGGAATGCACCGCCTGCCCCGTCCATCATCATTCACCCTTGATCTGGTAACTTCGTTCTACCCTCCTTATCTTTCCTCCATTGAGGACAATGTCGTGCTTAAGTGTGGGGGGGTGTTCGATTATGTATGCGGGTGAATGTTTGGCTGTTTGTGTGCTTGGAGCCTAGTCCACTGTCCAAATTTTTAAATTTGAGGGCTCCAAGTACGTGTTCCTTGCAATTACCTGCTCAGTATGCTTTGAATTGACAGTCTCTGTAGTGGTTTGCAACCTAGGGAGGTAGTGTAGCACTATGGAGGATGTTGATGCATTTAAGAAGTCTCATTTCTTCTTCATAGTGTGTTGGTTGATTGAGTGAATTAGTGATCTTAGGACCCTTGAATTGTGTGGTGTTGTGGACTCTCTGCTTGTCATGGACTCTTGTATCATTTTTTGAAATAACAGGTGCTCGAAAATGCGCTTTAAAATGACGTCTCCCGTGCGAATAGGGCGAAAGTGTGTAAGGGGAGACGGGAATCCGTTCCCAATTTCTACCTACTACCTCCAGCCCCCTTACATGTCTTTCCCCCGCACGAGGCTCGAGACAACTGCTCCTGGCATGGCCGGTAAGAGCCGGGCTCCCGCAAAACCTTTTCTAGGTGGGAGCCCCCGTTTTCTACAAAAACAGGTTGGAACCCTTGAAAAAAAAGAGAAAAACAGAAAAACAAGCAAAAAGAAGAAAGAAAAGGGGGTTCCAACCATCTCCAAAAAGAAAATCGAGCACCTTGAAAAATGTGAGTCCATGATCTTTTGTTTTTGAGAGTCTCTTCATCCACGATTCATTTGTCCTCTGTTCACTATTTGCCATGATGCCGACTCGAGACTAGCGTTCTCGCCGAAGAGGCTATGAGATGACTTGTGCGTCGGTTGACCTCGTAAGCTGCTAAATGATCTAGGAAGTCCGCTACCTACGATCGAGGTTGTTTGTTGCTATAGAGGTCTGGAGAGTTGCATTGGTTTGAGTTAGGTTTGCTTGGGGACAAGCAAACAGTTAAGTGTGGGGGGATTTGATGACTCGGTATTTGCACATGTTTTCCCCTTTTATTTCTTGATTGTTTGAGCTTGAATTACCGTGTCTTTGACCGATTTTACGCTAGGTTGTGTTCCTTTGTCACATTTCAGGTCCTAGCACATAAAGTGAAGCATAGGCGCAAGTTTCAAGTCAATCAGAGATCAATTGACGATTTGGGAGAAGACACTCGGGCATGACCTGAAGAAGAATGGATTTCTACCTCACTTTATGGACAGAGAATCATGCAAGCTTGTTATGAAACGAAAGAGGACGAGACTACGAGCGTCTGGGATCAAACGGCGACTAATTCGGAGTCCGGACGAGGGAGAAACGAAGCATTAAACAGAGGCTGAGCAAGCTGCACGGGCAGACCAGGGAGGCGCACGGCCGTGCAACATATAATTCTGGCCGTGCGGGATTGTGCGTGGGCACGCACGGGATTGTGCGTGGCCACGCACGGCCGTGCAACATACAATTTTGGCCGTGCGGGTTGGTGCGTGGGCACGCACGGGCACAAGTGAAATCCGCACGGCCGTGCAAGGTGCAATCCTGGCCGTGCGAGTTGGTTGAGGTTCGACTTAATGAAACGGCGCGTTTTGAGGTGCACGGCCAGAATGGTGATGTGCATGGCCGTGCACCCTGGCCGTGCGAGTCGGGAATTGTTGTTTAAAACCCGATTTTCAGCGAAAGGAAGGGAGGAGAGCTGGGTTTTGGATCCCAAACACCCAAGGGACGAACCCTAGAGAGAGAGAGCGACTTGGAAACATTCTTGGAGCTATTTTGGAGGATTTCTTCGCCATTGGAGCTCGGGAATCAAGCTTGGAGATGGAGATTGAAGATCTAGATCAGATTTCTGCAGTCTCTCTCTTCTCTATGGAGTAACTTCCCTTCACTTAGGTTTTGAGGAACCCTAGTTCCATGAGTTAGGATCTTTCTTGTATGAAGTTTTGGATGCTATACTGTTTGATTATAATCGATTGAGGCATGATTTATTCAGTCAATTGGATCTTGATCAAATTCTCTTGATTTCTGCTTTAACCTATGATAGATAGAATCTGATTAGGTTAAGAGAGCTTCCTTGATTGATAGTAGTGAATTGGTTGTGCGAGAGTCAGTCAATTCACTGCTTTGTACTGGAACTCATTCCAGTAGTGGAGATCTGTGTGAATCGCCTTAGCAGTCTATCCCGGTGAAGGCTAGTCGCCTGCCGGGTATTCTGTCTGAGAGGGCTTGGTCAGCTTAAGAGATTCCAAGCTAATTTAGGATCTTCCGCAGTTTAATCAACAGTAGATCAACCAAAGATAATTGCAACTTGGACCTAATTGAGGAGCTAGGGGGAATCATACCTAAGTGAGTTCCCAATTTGTAATTAGTAGAGTAGTCAGTAGAGTAGTTTATCAATCAATTCTTAATCTAGTTTGCTAGATAATGAACTGAAGCTGAGTAATAGTAACTCTAGAGACCCGTGGATTCGATATTTATTACTTGTGCCACTATACTGCAGTCCCTTTCATCGGTTACACTTGGCCATTGTTAGGTGTTGTGTTTTAGCGTGTCACTAGCCCATAGTAATTAAGGTATTAGTATACAATTTCTATAACACTTTGTGAAATGAATTAATGATCATGTACAATAGAGGTATTAACATTTTAAAAGGAATTAGTAATAACATACAAAAAATTTAGTAACATTTGTGAGTGAAATTATTGATGATATACAATATCGTTATTAAGATTTTGACAGGTTTTTTAATGATTTATAGTATCGTTGTAAACTTTTGTGGAAAGAACTTTTAGTTTTATATAATAGCGCTAAAATGAATAATGGATGATATATAATATCGTTGTTAATGAGCTAAAATTTCGTTATTAGTATTTGTAAAATGAATCATTGATGATATAAAATAACGATATTAACTTATCCATAGTCAGTAAGTGATGGTGGAAGGTGATTCAAAGGTGTTGATTCGTCGTCTAAGTCACTGCTCGGTGGCTGGATCATTGGATGGGTCACTTTCTCTGCGAGTGTCGACAGTTAATCTCCTCTTTGACCATTGGTGTAGATTTAGTGTGGTCCCATGAGTCACTAAGCGAACTGGTCATAGAGTGGCGCGTTAAACATTATTGATGTCTCCTGTGGATTTAGATTCCTTTGTATTTTACTATTTTTAGATGGCTTCACTAGTTCACTTGTAGCTCTATTTCTATTATTTTCTCTTGATATCTCTTGGAAAAAAATAATAATATGAACATTTTGAAAGAAATTATTCATAGTATACAATTTTGTGATTAACGTTTGCGAAAAAATTATCAACATTGTACAATAGCGTTATTAATGTTTGTGGAAAGAATTATTAATGGTATATAATAACATTATAAATAAATTATTAATAATATACAAATTTGTTAAGCTCTAGCGGATGTTGGCCCGCCCCCAAGACACAATTTTGTTACTAACGTTTGTTGAAAGGAATTACAAATAGGGTACAATAGCGTAATAAAATTGTGAGATTAATTATTAGTTATTAAATTGTATTTTTAAAATGTTAAGTATTAATTTTAAATTTTTAAAATTTCGAATTTCATTAAATATTAATTTTTTTCTTTGACACTTTTGACAGTTGAACCTCTCATTTCATTTTTCTATTCCTAATGACTGGAAAAAGATTAAGAAACAAATAAGTTTTTCCACTTAATCAAGCGGCTCTACTTCTCCGGCGGGCGACGGACATTATATCAAGCACCTGGCGGGCATAAAGAAAACGTAATCGAACCTGGAATCCTCTGAAAAACTGATATTCCCCCCTTGGGCGAAGAACGCGTCGAGTGCTCGGGCCATGATCCACACGGTGTCGTAAGCGTACAGCCCATAAGCACTGAGCCCCATGGCTCCGCCGGTCAAGTTAGCCCACCTGTTCACGAACTCGGCTTTGAGCTCCGAATCCGGTGTGTGCATCCGCAGCGTGAGCACTCCCTGTACATCCTCCAGAGCCTCGGGAGCAAGATCGAGCTCGGTTTCCAGAATCGTGGAGAACCAATTGGTGGCTATCCAGACGTAGCCGGGGTTCATCATGCCCAGATACCGGGCAACGGCGAACACCATCGGCCCCCAGTAATCCGGCACGTGGACCACCAGAATCCGCGACTCGCCCATCGCGGCCTGGACCAGGACGTCGGTGATCTCCTCCCTTGTGGCCTTGGTGCCCAGCGGCGCCTTGAACGAGATCCTGCATCTCCTGGCGGCCAGCTGGTCGCCCAGCGCGGAAATCCCGTTCCGGCCGTGGTCGTCGTCGCCGTAGATCGCGATCACCTCCCTCCACCCGTAGTGCTCCACGATGTCGGCGACGGCGGCCATCTGGTAGAGGTCGCTCTGCGAGGTCATGACGAAGAACGGGAACTGCAGCGAGTTGAGGGTCGGGTCGGTGGCGGAGAAGGAGAGCATCGGGACGCGGAGCTCGTTGGCGATGAACGACAGCACGTGAGCTGTCACCGACGACTGCGGCCCGATTACCGCCACCGTCTGGGTCTCCATCAACCTTAAAACTGCAATTAAAATTAGGGATTAGGAGAGTATTGAGAAAGGATTTGAAGGGGAAAAAATGCAGAGTTTGATCGATTAAGATGGGCATTAATTAATAATTACCTTCAATGATGCCGAGGAATCCGCTGAAATTGGTGTCGTGCAAAGAGGCCAGCAGCTTGGTTCGGGGGAGAACGGTGGGGTCGGAGTTGACGTCGGCCACGGCTGCCTGGATTGCGATTTTGGAGACTTTGCCAATGATGGAGCCGAAGGAGAGAACCACCCCGATGTTGACGGACTCCGGCGGCGGCGGCGTGGAGGAGCAGACGGCGCCGGCGGCGAGAATTAGGCAGCAAATCAAGAGTCGAATCTGCTGCATGGTGTGCTCTCTGTTTCCGACTTGCTTCCCACAGCGAGCCGTACCGAACAGGGACTAAATTTTCCGGTGATATATAATCAAATAGTTAATGGCCGTACAAATCGGTGACGAAGATGGGTGTGGTGGATCGATTCTGATAGTGGGGGAGTGGGAGATAACGTTTGAAGGAGGAACCGAGAATGGTTTAGATTATCAGTGTACTGTGGTGAAGGCTGCTTTCTGTCTCTTTCGCCATTGTTGGCTCACAATTTTGGGGTTTAGCTATGTCCCTGCTGTATTGTCATGGTGACCACCTTCTTCAGTTGCCTCCACTGTGTAATAATAATACCAAGATTTATTTAGCAAAATACCAAGACTGTTGATGTAGAAGGAGCGATATTATATGGAGCGGGAACCGTGGATTTCGGAATCATAACCCTCATGAGGCTTGCAAATTCATTGAACTTCTGCATTCCGAAATACTCGAGTTCATCGCTCAATTGGCTGACGGTTGTGAATTATGAACTGGGGCATACTCCATCAGCTGACAGATGGTTGATACGCCGATTAGTGGTGGAGGCAGAGTTTGAAAGTATATGTGTCCTCTTTTCATAGTATAAATGTATAATAAATAAATAAATATTTAATAAATATAATTAAAACTAATAATATCCAAATAATTCATTGATAGATATTAATGAAATACTAGACAGAGCACAATCATTATTTTCATAAGCACTAACAACATGTTTTCAAATTCTTAATTTATCTGACCAAGCAATCATTAGCAAATTGGTTGCAATTCGACTTTGAAACTTGTTATTGATATAGCTCAAAGCTGAAAATGTTCTTTATACACTTACAGTTGCAACGAGTAGAGTAAAAACATAACTACAAAAGACAGAGAGATCGATTTTTTAATATTGTGAATTTTGTTTATAGTGTGATAAATTAGTTTATGTTAGTTTTTAAACTTAAAATAACTTGTAGTGTAGTGATAACTCACTTTTATATTACCTAAAGGTGATGAGTGTAATCCTTAATTGATATATATATATATATATGTATATATGAGTATTTTATTTTACCCAAAAGTTACCTGTGTCCCGGGACACATCCAATAGGCCTTGGCTCCGCCTATGCGCCCGATCATTCCAATTCCACACAACAAACAACAAACAAGCGTATTTGGTTGTGGTTTTCTTTTTTGAAAGACGGGAACTACTATTCCAACTGACCTAGAGGTACCAGTATAGACATTAAAGAAAATGGGACAACAGATCAGCCGAAACAATCTATGCATTCGGGAGGCAACCCAACCGAGCATTGCGCGCAACCCAGTCAGCCAACAAGTTGAGACGCCTTGGCACGATCACAACCCTAATACAAGGTGAAGTCTGGAGACAACAAATTATGCTCGCCAACAACTCACACCAGTGCCAAGGCTAGGAAATTGTTTTAGAGCAACCGTCAATCTCTGTCAGTCAGTCTTGATACTCCTGCGCTGATATTGAAACTGCACTCAAAATAACATATGCTTCCGCCTGAATTGGCAAGGAACAAAAGAAAGTCTCCATCTTTTCATCATACGCTTGACCATGAGAATTAGCAATAGTAATCCCATACGCCGCCACCTGAGACTCATACACAAATGAACCATCACAACTCACAAACTTATGAAAGAAGTTAGGCGGGGTGGTAAGGAGTAAGAACGGGTTTCTCCAGGCAAAGAGGTCCAACTAGCAACACGGTGATTTGAATGGATAGACACATTGATCCTAGCATCTTGCAAACTCTGAAAATCACAGTAAGCTAAAATATCCGAAAAGTGCGGGAAAGTAGCCTTTCTATCATATACAAACCAATTACGTGCAATCCAGATGCTCCATAAGCAATAAATGATCTTCTTAATATGCTCAAGAGGCAATCCCTCTTGAGATTAAAGAACCAGTCTGCAAAGTGAGCATCCAGAGGAGGAATCGAAGGTAGCACACCAAAGTTTCTCCATGTGTCTCTCGCATGCTGGCAGTGGAAGAAATAATGCATAATTGTCTCGTCCTATCTCTCGCAAATTTGACAAATCGGACTCTGAGTGCATTTCCAAGAGAAGAGGAGAGAATGCGCAGGTAAAGCTCTCTTGATGTTCTTCCAAATGAACCTGAGTTTGAGAGGGAGGGATAAGGACCAAAGCCATCTCCAATCATCCCTTTCTCCCATTGTTAATGACGGGGAGATTTCCATTGTCCCTAGATTCTCAGAGTGAGAGATAGGCATAGCCCACACTATATGATCTCGTATTAGTAAACCTCCAAATCCATGTATCACGAGCACCCAGTGGATCAATAGGGACTCTCATAATAGCTTGTGCCTCCTCCTCCTCAGGAACATAATTCCTCAAGGCTTCATCATCCCACTCCCAGGAGCTTGGATTGAATCAGTAATACTCTAGAAGGCTCCAACCTCAGGAAACCGAGTGGAAAGAGGGGAGGGAATCCATGAATTACAGTGGGAATAGGATCCTTCACCTGCCACAATACCTTTGAGTAACCCAATTCTCAATTGCTTCTTAGTATCACAAAAATCGTTCTAAATCCATGATCCCTTACGTCATTTTGAAGCTGACAATAAATCACCATTAGCAAAGTAGAGACCATTCATTATTCTTACCCATAAAGCATACGGGTTCTCAAGCATACACAGAATATGTTTCCTTACAAGAGCAATATTAAACAAGTGGAAGTTCTTGAAACCCAATCCTCTATCCTCCTTAGGAAGTTTAAGAGTACAAGCATTGCACTAGCGAATTGATTTTTTTTCATCAAACCAAACCAGAAATAGAGTTTAAGAATCAAATCCATTCTGTTGGTTTGGGATAGATGGAGAAGGAAAACACTGATGATGTAAGTCGGTAATGTTTGAATAACTTCCTTAAGAAAAACTTATTGTCCCCCGATGATAGAAGAAGGTTCTTCCATGATTACCCTCTTCTTTCCATTCTTTCCCGTAAGAACAAGAATGACTCCTTTTAGATTTCCCCCACTCAGATGGAACCCCAAGGTACTTGTCATGGCTGAAAGAAGGAGGGAATCTAAACTTGTTAGTCACCAAATTTCTAAGCTCCAGTTGGGTGTTCTTGCTTAAGAAGATTGAAAATTTTGATGCATTAATCTCTTGCCCTGTAACCGCCCTATAATGCTTCAGAATGTTAAGAATGTGATCACCTTCTCTGACAATGGCCTTTTCAAAGATAATTGTGTCATCTGTAAATATATAGTGTGATAGTCTTGGGCAATTCTGGTTGAGTTTGATTCCCTAAATGTCCCCTCTCGCCACTTCTTGATCATTAAAAAATGTATAGCGCATTAGACATAAGAATGAACAAGAATGAGGAGTTAAGGTCACCTTGTCTAATTCCTTTTGTTGGTTGGAAAGGTTCGGTTGGACTTTTATTAAGTAAAATAGAGAAGTTAACGGCGGCCCTACGACAAGCATTCACCCATCCTTTCTTTTGTCCGAAAACCCATAGGCCTTCAAAATTGAATCCAAACAATCCCAATCCACAAGATCATTTATGATTCTTAAAATGGTGAAGCACCGCATGGACAATAATCACATTATCCTGGATGAGTCTCCCACCCATGAAATTCGGTTGCATCTCAGAAACCAAACCTGAAAACCATTTCTTCATTCGGCTAGACATGATTTCGGAAATAACTTGTATATGAAACTGCAACAACTGTCAGATCTGAATTGGAAAATCCTTTTCGGAGCTTGGACATTCGAAATGAGAACTGTGTGTGGCATTCTATCATCGAGGCATTTCTACCGTTTGAAAGAACAACAACACTTCATTGTAGAAATCAAGGCCAACTTTATCCCAATACTTTCAGAAAAACATTCCAGCAAAACCGTCAGGACCGAGAGAGTTTGTAGGTCCAAGATTAAAGAGTACCTTTTGATTTCTTCAATGGAAGGGTCCCTACACAGTTCATCATTCATTTGATCCAAAACCAGCTGGGGGAAGACATCTAAGGCTAAGATTAATGCAGTCAAAAACGCAATTCTACATAGAAGCGGAAAATGGGTAAAATCGTAAAGCGTAGAATTAAAGTGTAAGTTTTTGACGTATATTGTAAAATAAATAAAAATCTGTTAAGTTTGGCATATACTATGTAAAATATGAGCGCACATAATTTAGATAAGTTAATAAATACCTGCAATTCATGTCTAAAGTACAACAACTCATAGCATCTTAACTATAAGTTCATAAACATAGAATGTAACAATAAGTCACCTTTCCCTCTATGCTAATGAATTTGGAAAGGGCCTGCTAGTGAATTAGATTACTCAATTGAAGCTCGAAATGCATCCAAGTACCTGGTATGTATCTTTTAATCTCTATTACAGAGTGGTATAAGATCCAACATAACCTTCTCCCAACAACTCGAGTTATTGGGACCAACTGGTTTATGACATGGTATAAGAGCCCAAACTTGTTCCAAATTAGTTGTTGCCGGTCCATCCTCGCCCGAACCTATTCCAGATGAGCTACATGCGGCCCATGCACATCATGCTTCCACGTCATTTAGGACTCCTAGTCCTTCTCATATTGACACAAGTTGTACCCTAGTTGATCGTGTTGCATTAGGGTATATAAACACTTGTATGGCTATAGCCGAAACCTATCAATGAGAAACATAATCTTCTGTGGACGTAAGTATCACACACCATGAGGAAGAACCACGTTAAAATCATCTCTCTCGCAATCTCTCTTTACGATTTATCATGGTATCAGAGCTGTAGGTCCATCCCTAGTGTTTTCCGCCGTCATTCCCCATGAGTCTCAAAGATGAGGATGTTGTTTTGTTTGACGGTGCCACTGTCAAAGCCGAAAAGGGTCTGCCTTCGGTTTATTTGCTTTCTAATTCGGATAGTCCCGACAACATGCTAGTTGGATACGTGTTGACGACATCCAATTATGGAGAGTGGGTTCTTGACATGAAAGATGCTCTCATTGCCAAGAACAAGTTCAGTTTCGTGGATGAAAGTCTTCCTAAGCCCCAAAATTTGTGTTACAATGGCCCAACTAGAGTAATTGAAGACATTCTTCAGTTCTGCTCAAAAGGTGACTGATGAACTCGCGACGCATATGGCAACACAATTTGGGCACTCGGTCAAGCGCATTCAAGAAGACAATGGACTCGTGTTTAATACCCC